ACAAAACACAATTACTATATTTTGCAAGAACTTATATTATTATTTTTAAAGCAAAATTAGGAATGCTTCTGTTCTCAAGATATCAGGATATCAGGACATTCCTGGGTCTGAGTCTATTTAGTAAACATTATTAATCTGTTCCCTTAACCATAAACACCTAGGGGCTAGGAATGCCTAACTTCCTGGGGATATAGCCCAGCAAGGCTGAGCCTCATTTTTCCTAGCCCTCATTCAAGATGGAGTCACTCTGGTTCAAATGCCTCTCACACATCTGCATAACAAAACTTTGAAACATTCCAATAGAATGATAGTGCTCTTCTAAGAAGAGGGGATTAGAACATAGATACACCTGAAGCAAAGACCATGCAAGGATGCAGGGAGAAGGCGCTGTCTGCAAGCTGCCGAGAGAGGCCTCAGAAGGCACCCACCCCACAGACACCTTGATTTTGGACTTCCAGCCTTGAGAATGGTGAGAAAATAAATGTCTGTTGTTTAAGTCACCCAGTCTGTGGGACTGTGTCACAGCAGCCCGAGCAGACTAGGATAGTACCGCTGGGAATGGTTCCTCTTGTCAATGAAAAGAGTCAAACTCTGGAAAATATTTGAAGAGGTTTATTCTGAGCCAAATGTGAGTGACCAATGGCCCATGATGCAGTCCTCAGGAGATCCTGAGAATGTGTGGCCAAGGTGGTCGGGACACAGCCTAGGTTTATACATTTTAGGGAGACATGAGACATCAATCAAATACATCTAAGATATACCTTGGTTCGGTCCAGAAAGATGAGACAACTTGAAGTGGTGGAGGGGTGGAGGTGAGGGGTGAGGAGGGGTGGGGGTGCTTCCAGGTTATAGGTAGATTTAAAATTTTCTGATTGACGGCTGGGCACAGTGGCTAACACCTGTACACCTACAATCCCAGCACTTTGGGAGGCCAAGGTGGGTGGATCATCTGAGGTTAGGAGTTCGAGACCAGCCTGGCCAATGTGGTGAAATCCCATCTCCACTAAAAATACAAAAATTAGCTGAGCATAGTGATAGGTGCCTGTAATCCCAGCTACTCAGGAGGCTGAGGCAGGAGAATCGCTTGAACCCAGGAGGTGGAGGTTGCAGTGAGCCAAGATAGTGCCACTATACTGCAGCCTGGGTGACAGAGCGAAACTCCATCACTAAATAAATAAATAAATAAATAAATAAATGGAAAATAAAAATATATGATTGGCTATTGGTTTAAAGAGTTATTAGCAATAGAAAGGAATGTCTGGGTTATGACAAGGGGTTGT